CAGACTATGTAAGAAAACAAGGTTCTGCCAGACACACTGGCCTTTTGTCATCTCATGAAAGCACACACTTGTGTAATAAAAAAATACCTTAGAAACAAAAATCTTGGGAAATGCAACAGCTGACAACCAAAATAGTGATTGGGTTTGGGTCGGGTTGTTTTTTTTTTTTCCTCCTTTGAAAGCAAATGACCAATAAGTCATTACAGTACCTTTTGGGAAATAATGCCTATCATCTGTTTGTATACTTAAACAGAGTAGAAGACCACACTGCTTTTAAAAGCTGCTAACGTCTTTCAAGTAATGTGCACAGCTTTTCCCACTATTTGTTTTTAAGCATTCAAGTTCATTCCTTCAAATGACCACAGTTCCACAAGCACTACAGCAGGAGCAAAGGGTATTCGTGTATTCCTGAAGTAGCCCTTGAATATTGATGACGGAGACATCCTTGGATTCAAGAGCTCTAATGTGGAAAATGGCAAATTGGCAGGGTAAGAGTTCCATATATTTAACTTTGCCTAAAGCACATACTTAAGTGACTCACAGCCAGAGCCTGGACGGTGACTAAGATGTTGTCTACAAAGAAACACCCTGGTAGTGGCATCTCCTCATTTGTTGTTAAAAGAACATCCTTAACGTTCCCACTAGTCCCAAACCTGGCAGCAGGTATCCTTGGGAAGAGTCCAGGTCCTAGGAAGCTACGTTCCAACTGTATTAAAGCTTGTCTGCCTGAAAGCTAATTAAAAACCAGTGCTCATCTCACAGCAGCAGTTTAGCTGAGCTGCACAGTAAGAAGGCATTAAACAGGCTGCAGTATCCTGTGCTTAGTGCTACTTTACAAACGGTCACATCCCCAGTGACACAACCCCAGACTAACTAGGACACGGATTAGGGCATGGATGTTACCGATAAAGGCTAAAAGACTGTCATTCCTTTGGCAAGAGACAGGAGGAGGGGAATGGGAAGCAGGAGCCTAGCGCTGTGTTACCCACTTCCATACCTGGCTTGCCAAGTGGCAATTCATCTGTTTAGCTCACTAACATTCTGTTTATGCCCACTCACACCATGCACAAGGAAACAGGCCAGGGAATTTAGTCTGAAAATTTGGGAACAAAAAATGTTTCATCATAGTGTCTCAGCTGCGGTACTACAAGTAAGACCGCTGAGATTTCCTTGGGGTTTTTTTTGGTTGGGGGTGGTTTTGGGTGTGGTAGTATATTTTTAAGCATTGCTGCACCATGTGAGCACTTTAAATAGTTTCAGTGCAAAGTCTATTTTTAATTTAATATTTTGTTAATATATCATTAATTTAAACTGCAGATTAATCGTACTGTCACCACACAAAACCAGCAAAGGGGGGCTCATCTCTTAGCTGAGACTGGATCCTAATGGGTGGACAGGCTTACTACATACTAATATCCAATAAATATGCACTTTTAAATGTTAACAGGCATGGTATAAATTTCCGTACCATGCAAAGGGGCCTCTATTTTGAGCCCATTCCTTGAAGGAATGTTCCAAGCACACTGCTACATCTATCTTCTCTGTCCTCATGCTATTGAGGAAACAGACTGATGAAAACAGACATACAGCCAGTCTTCTGCTTATACTTATTTTTAGTGTGGAATAAGCACTTTGAGTACAGAAAGAAGTCCAATAGCTGGATATCAGAAAGTGGAAAAAAATACTACGAAAAGTCATCAGCAAAATGCAGTATGCTTCAAGCATGCTTGATAACTAAATTCAAAATAGTATTAAAACTATAATTGATGCACTTTGTGGTAATTAAATGAAGTGTTCTTATTTCCTTCCCGCTACAGCCAGCGCATGAATAAACAATCTGCTTTCAACTGCTCTCAGTCATGAAATTAAAAAAAGCTGAAGACTATGCAAGTCAAGTAAGAAATTTTAAAAGGACTGACATTTATTTGTTGAAAAATTTTACTGGTATGTTTCAAAGACCTATGGAAAAGCTAAGTACTTAAGCATAGCACTGTTCAAAAGGTAACAAATATAACCAACATCTCTCTTGCTCTGATGGAAAGAGT